AACATGCCGACACGTTTACATACTGGCATTTCTTCAACACTTCTTCTTTTATGTGCCATTAGAACTCGCCTCTATGTGGCCAAGTGGCATTGGCAAATCCAAGTACATAACAGCGATTTCTTCTTTTTCGTTTTTGATTAAATTGGAGCAGAAATCGTATTTGCATGCATAATTGTGTTTAATTTAAAATTCTTCCGAGTATGCAAAATTCTGTGTTGTTATTTTGCTCCTCTGCAAAATAAGCCTTCAAGCCGTTCAAGCCGTTCAAGTGTTGCAAATCGAAATCTCTTAATGAGGCAACAAGACATGTGCGTGCAATAATTTTCAGCTAATTTGTGTTAATGTTATGAATTTTCTTGCTCACTAATTCTATTCTTCTATTTATATTATTTTGTTTTATATTCTATTTCATTATAATTCCCATTGTACTCGTAATGCAGAGCAATTTGGATAAGTGTGCCTAATATAATTTATTCCGCAACGAGTCCGCATGTTACACATGAAACCTCTGTGATTCACACAGACTGAATTTAACAGAGAACTGTTAAATTTGCCACTACGCCACTGCGCCACTGCGATATTACAAAGCCTTTGGGACTGACTGGCGGTTAAGTCTTCACGTTTTGAGTATGTCGTAAAACTGTTTCTATTAACTTATTATGAAATCATTCACATTTCACTAATTTTTCTAATAGAACCTGTTTTTTACTATAATTGTTTTTATTGTTCCCGTTCTGTAAATTTAAAAAATTATTATTAAAATTTCACTAAAATAAATATAATTGAAGTTGTGCATACATTTCACATTTCAACAACTAAGAAGAAGCTTTTATTTACAAGGATATTATTACAAGAATATTATATTTAAGAACGAGTAACTTTCATTGATAAATGCTTAGTTGCTTAGGGCCAAGTTATGCACACAGTCAAATCACAATTGTCAATTTTATGCTGTCATTACGATTTTGGTAATGACATAAAAGAAAGAAATAATTTGGCATAAAAGAAATGTTTAAATATTTATTATAACATTGTTTGATACTCTTTCAGCAAAAAGTTAAATTCTTATACTTTGAGGAATTAACAGGACTGAGCTAAATAGACCCGAAAACAAATGTATGAAATTTGTTATTGAAACTACGTATATAATTTACTGGAGAATTGTTTAGAATGCTAGGTAAATTCCTCACTGGTATTACAAAATTCTATATTCTCTGTCATTTTTATGCGCAATATAATTTTAGATAATATAGTTAATTGTTAATTTAGTTAATTGGTTAACGAAATAAATGAAATTCATTCAAGCTGCTTATTTTAAGATTATTCTCTCAGATAGTACTAATTTATATAGCTTCAATATAGCATAAATGCTAAATGTATCTCTTCTCTTATGTTGTCTTAACAGCTTCTTAAATTTCTGAGGTTTAACAATAGTAAGAATAACACGATGGACCTATCATATTACCAGCTCAAGTGGTATTCACTGTTATTTTTTGAAGACATAAAATTATTCGTGATATTACCAGTCAGTAAATACCCGTAGTTTCATTGTATTTTAGTGATCATTTAAATTAGAGTTCCATTACCACAAGATCCTGTAATTATGATATCCCATTTCGAATAATTAGGTTTAAGATTCATAATCCATTTTTTTTTTTTATTAAATCAAAATACAATTTTATTAACTTTTTTTAAAGAGGTTTTCGAACAGAAGTGAAACAACAACAAAAATTTATTTTTTTAAATTATTTTAATTAATTGAATTTTTGGCTGACCATACAGCTGTTTCGAGTATTGCCAAATACCCTTCATCAGTGGTCTTGGAAATAATTCTTGTATTTAATTATTCGTAAATAATTATTTTTGAGACTGCAAGTACCAGGATTCGAACTCGGGTCTTTCCAAATGTGAAGCTCAGAATCAGCGCACCTTAACGAACTGATCCAAAGCCGTACTTGGCTTTTTTGTTCGCATATTTTTCTGGAGTTTTGTTACTTTTGCTATGAAAGTTTTTATTAACAATTTTATTTGCTGTGTTTATATATTAGAACGAAATCATAAACCAGCTGTAGAATAATTGAATTAATAATTAATTATATTTTTATTTTTAATTGTTAAATTTCAAAACTATTCTATTCGTAGAGGCATTATTTGTTGCATGATTTGTTCTTTCTTATGTATAGAACCTAATCTAGGAACGTAATGCTGAGAAACTTAACTTTTTTTATTCATATGGTAAATTGAACTATTACTACCCTACGTCAGTTGCTTCTACGTTTTACGTACGTATTAGCTCTATTGTTTGCTAGAAAATTCTCTAAATTTCGTAATGTTCATTATGTTGTTCATAAATTTTTTCCCACTTTTTCTTTCTGCTACACTTGTCATCTTTTTTTAAAATTTTATCGTGTTCAATCCAATATAATTAAAAACTGTAGTTTAAAATATTAAACAAATATTATTAAGAGTGCATCAAATAAAACAATCGACTTACAATACTATCAAAATGACGTTCTTCTTATAATGAGACGATAGCTGCAGACTTTGTCACAAAGAAGAGGAACACAGAACAGCACAACACATTCTATGTCACTGTGATTGTCTTACCAGATACAGACTTCGGTACTTTTTAACTACCTATCCACTTATAACGGAAATAGGCAACATCTACCCAAGGAACATAATGACATTTTTAACTGCTACGTGTATATGGAACTAAAGTTGGCTTGTCACAATAATCCTTAAAGGATGTAGTGACATAGTTCCCAGTCCTTTCAAAATTTATCTATCTATCTTTTATTGTATACAGAAATTGATGAAGATACTTCACTGAAATGGACTTTAAGCAAAGTATCTAATTAACGTGGCCTAAATTTTATTATTACAGTTTAATTACCAATGAATAATTTTTTTTGTGACAATAAAAAAAGTTTCATTTTATTTTAGAAAAAAAAATTAAGTTTAATTATTTTAATTTAGATGGTTGGTTCGTTAAGAAAATATGTATTGCATATTGTAACATATTGTGTATCCTGGAATTGGTCTCATCCAGCACCTTAACTGCATTTTATATTACGCAGTTCAACGTATCTTCCCTTTCTTACTTTACTTTCTTCTTCAATTATGACAATGCGTAAAGTCTCATTTTGAAGTCATATTCCGGACAAACTTTTGACGAGTCTTTCTTTAGATGTCTGTCTACAGATTATCAATCTAAAAATATTATACGCTTTTATAAGAAGTATTCTTTCATATTTTTTAAAATTATTTGAAGAGAAGAGTTTTGCTAAATGTAAGCGTAACTAAAGTTTGAGGTCGTAAACATACTTAGAATGGACTAGGTATTTACAAACACATTTGCAATCTCTGTTAAGTGCAAGAAAGTCAGAAGTTCACCGAAGTTGGCCTCACCTATTTGTTGAGATACAAGTAAATTGCCATGAAGCTAAGTACAGTAAGAGATTAAGAAGATAAATATTTTCTTTTGGAAATAAGTATTTGTTTTCTTTCAAACTTAAAACCATTGAAAGCTAGCTGTACTTGCACTTAATGCCTTTTCTAAGCATACAAAAGAATAACAACCCTGTGCCCCATAAAAGGAGCTGTTCGTTTAGAAGAAGTAGAAGATTCAAATAAATATTTGAGTGAAATTTTTTCATTATACTACATCTGTATTATTATATATAGCTCAAATCAGTGAAATATTATATTATAATTCAAAATAGTTTTTTTTTGTTTGTTTTTATTTAAATATATTTTAATTTATTTGTCAAATTGTATTTAAAAAAAAAGATCTGTGGAAGTCGTAAGTAAAAAGGAAAGTGCTTTGCGAAACATTAACAGAGTTTCTTCAGTTTCAGTTTTACTCAGCTGAGGAAGTATCTTCTTAAGCGTTTCGCAGCGGACAAAATATGACGTAGCCGCTGTCGTTAAAACCATAAAACAAGATTTCTTACTTACCCGTGCAGCTTAGCACGAATAATTTCACTCGGAGCCGCGCTCGCTGACAACAATTACCCGCGCTGCAATATTAGAAACTCTGAGCACATTTAATGGCTTGCAGCTGAAATTAGCAGTAATGAAATGGAAATTAGAAATATAAAAAATATAAAGAAATTGTTTAAATATTATTGTTTCACATTAAAGCGGCACAAGTCGTTGGCTGGCCAAAAGCCAAGCTTGCGACTAACCAATATCGATGGCTTGGACTGCGTGATGAGCTTCTTTGGCACGATTTTATTTGTATTTTGACTTTGGCTTGACCGATTATCTGAGACGCTCAAGTCAGTAAATTTTGAACTAAGCGCTCTGCCTCTTGTGTTTCTTCATATTTTTATATTTTGTTTATTTGTTGCTTTTTAATTGTTAAAATTAATGAATGTCCATTAGCTAATCTTTGGATGTATTTGAAAAGAGCTGTCAAAACAATTAGTATAATCATAAAACCCTAAACTACTGGTGATTTGTTAACTATATGACTCGGTCGGCATTAACTATAAGTGATTTCACTAAACATAGGGAGTGTAGCTGTCAGTAATAATCGTCATTAACAGTTATATCAAAGAGGTGAAAAATGGTGCAGCGATAACCTAATGAAGATTTAGAGACGATTTTCATAAATGGCATTAGATATATTGTTCACATGAGGCATGGAAATTACGCGAAGTAATCAGCTTTTCTCGAACATCATAAGATTTATCTTCAACCAATTTGACCAATGCAGAGTGTATATGTAAGTGTACTGCTCATACCTTATAAGGCTTGTGATACTCATTTCATTGTTATGACGTTTCTTATCTCTATCAAGAACACTGGTCAACTGATTTTAGAAAATA